GGGGGAGGGGCAAGGCCTGCCAGAGCCATGTTTGCCATGTTCTGACTGCCTAGAGCCCCTTCAGGCACTGAAGTATTTGTTCCAAGCAACATTGTTATGCGAATATGTAAATCAGAACATTTGACATGTTGTGGTTGTCACTGTTCTTCATATTTAACTAAGAAAAACACTGAGTTTCCTTGAAGAGTAGGGTGGCATTAAATGTGATACGGATGCTAAGCTAATGGCTTTGCACACTGCATTGTCAAGTCAGAATGGAGCAGTGGGTGGTGGCTAGAAGATAACTGGGTACTGGTTGGCTTGGCCTGAAAAAAGCTCATGCCTTTGGCTGTCAGAGGCAGCAGGAGACCCAAAGGCAAAAGGCACAGGGACTGCCTACCAAGTTGAATTTGACCAAGAAGAAAACAAAAGATCTCAAAAACCTTGATCTCTCCTAGCTGAAGAGGGAACCCAGAACATCTGGGGTAGGGATGAATTTCTAAAAAGAATCCCTCATTCCTGCCTACTGTTGGGTGACAAGCTTCCTGTTTTCCCACACTGCCAGATTCTTTCTCAAACACTGCCATGTGCAGAAGCAATCAAATTGAGTCAAGTCCTGATCATTAACTGGATGAAAGAGTGTGTCTGTCCCCACTTCTTTCTGACATAAAAGGCAACATGCCAGCCTGCCTTCTAGGCCACATCTCTATCTCTGCTCATTAGTCAGCATGACCCTGAATCAAACCGGGATAGGCTCTTTGGGCCAGTTTATCATATTTCAGACGTCTCTCTTTAGAGCTCAGTTTCGGCTTCCATTCAGACTGATGTCTTCTGCAGTTGTTCTCTTCTTTCTGTGCTCTCCTGTGCATTATAGTCCATGCTTTGTTTGATGGTCAGTGTTGTTCTCTGAGTATTCTTAGTGATTAGTTTTTGTTTTTGTTTTTGTTTTTTCTTGAGATAGTCTTACTATGTTGCCTAGGCTGGTCCTGAATTTGTAAGTTGAAGTGTAAGCAGTGACTACAAGCAAACACCACTGAGCCAGAAGCCCTTTATAATTTCTAATGTGTAATAATATATGGCTTATAAGTCAAAGTCGTTGTTTGTTTTGCAGAACTATGACTTGATAACTATTTACCATCTGTATGTGGATAGTTTGTTCAAGTTTATATATAATGGCTTTGGAAAGTCTAGGCTATACTTTGCTGTCACATAAAGCAGTCATGACAATCAATTGATAGTCCTCACTACACTCATATTTATCTATGAGGTTGTGACACAGCAGATTAACTCATGTGGTCTGAGAACATGTGGAAGACCCAATGCTGGTGGTTGTCTTCAGAGTCCAGTGATGCTGTGGAAGTTCGTGAAGCTGTATTCTGAAGCAAAGGGAGCCCCGGTGGTGTCTGAGGCCCAGCCCTGATAGCTGTTCCATGACTCAAAATGTTTTTCAGACACTGAAAACATTTGTTGTATCTTTACTTGCTACAAATGAGCCCCACTATCATTTTACTTAGAGCTTTTTAAAGTTTCCAAATAATTCCTTCCATGTAAGAAAACACATTTTCAGTTTCTCATAAGAGTGACAAGGAAAATTCAGACCAGCCATCAAATGAAGACAGGTCTCTCTGCTCAGCACCACCTTCCATCCTGCAGGGAAGAGCTGGGAACCATTGCAGGCCTACAAGGGCCCTCTGGCTTTTATGATTCTATTCCAGCATCAACACCACTTCTCTGGAAAGGGAGCACTTTTGCAGTTGTGTCCGCTGTAGTCTGAGGCTCTTCGTTAGCAACCAAGAACAAACTATTTGTTGTTCACAGGGGAAAAAATGTTAAAAGTGAAAGGTGGGAATCCATATACTAAGGAGGCAGAAGCTGGGAACAAGCTATGCTGACAGCTGAGAAGGCAGTTTGAAGGGTTGGAGAGATGGGTTAGTTGATAAAATGCTGCACAAGCATGAAGACCTGATGATACTCAGCACCCAGACAAAAGTAGCATACACCTGTAATCCCAGGTGGGTACAGGAGAATCTTGGGAGCCCAGTGACTAGCCAGCCTAGTTAAATGAGAGACTCTGTCACAAAAAAATTAAGGTGAAGAACAATTGAGAAAGATACCAGACATCACCCTCTGGCATACCCTTGGACCGGCATGCACGCACATACCCACATATATATGTTAAACACATTCACAAGAGAAAAAAGAAGACTTAGTCAGAAATTTGAAGCAATAAATAAGGTGATTACAATTTTATAAAGTAAAAAGTCCACCAAGAATGTTCAGTGAATGTAGTATATAAGCACTGGACATTGGTATACCCTGCTTTGTAAATCATACACTCCTGGATATTAAGGGCCACATAGGTCCAGATATAATAGTATGGGAGATTATTACTCCCACTCTGAAAACAGTCCCATTCACAATAGCCTCAGAAAAATAAAACACCCAGGAATAAACCTAACCAAAGAGTTGAAAAACAGTGAAAATTTAAAACACTGAAGAAATTGATGGAGACATTAAAATATGGAAAGACTTCCCATACACATGGAGTTACAGAATATTGTGAAAACTAGCCATTTGAGCAAAAGAAATTTACAGATTCTGTGTAATCTCCATCAAATT